CCTCCGCTGGGAATCTCCTGGTGCGTGAGCAACAAAAATTGATCTGAAAGTGTGGCGTCCTCTCCTTCTCTGCTGCAATCCCGAGCTGCTAGTGATCAGCCATCTTGGATCTCTCTCTGGAATTATTTTTTAAAGTAAAACAGAGAAATGAAATGGGAGCTGCAGAAGGTTATAAAGTGAATGGAGACATTTAAAAAATGATGTTTACGTGCTGATGGGAGTGATTGAGTAAACAAGGGAAAATTAATTTTATAGGAGAAAGAGAATGTGGACAGTTGTTGGGAACATTTTTTTTTTGAGACAGAGTCACGCTATGTCACCTAGGCTGGAGTGCAGTGGTGCGATCTCGGCTTAATGTGACTTCCGCTTCCCTGGTTCACGCGATTCTTCTGCCTCAGCCTCCCGAGTAGCTGGGAATAAAGACATGCTGTTGCAAAATTATCTAAAGTGCTATGCATGTGTGCCTACGTGCACCACGCCCGGCTAATTGTTGTATTTTTATTAGAGATATGATTTCACCATGTTGGCCAGGCTGGTCTCTAACTCCTGACCTCGTGGTTCACCCGCCTCAGCCTCGCAAAGTGCTGGGATTACAGGGATGACCACTGTGCCCAGCCAGGAGCATGTATTCTTTGATGAGTGGTCCTTCTGTAGCACTGTACACAGCACTAAGGGAAGACTTTTCTGTCTTTACTTTTATAGCCCCAAACTCTCACTTGGCTGGGTGTCCCTCTTACCAGCCCTCATTTAACTGTGTGGTATTATTGTTGCCTCTGCACTTGCCCCTTTCAAAGTATGACCCCTTGTACTTAAAAACAGACCCTTTTAGGTCCAGCTGTGTCTTGATCCAAAGAACCACACTTAGCAGAGTATGTTAGTTTTAGAGACCTATAGGAGCGTAACATAATACCAAAGCCACACCTTTTTGATAATCTTGGACTATACAACAGAAGGCAAGAATTATAATAGGGTCTCATAAACCTTCTCCCACCCACCATGATGAACTATCTGTAGATCCTTCATGGCTCTTAAGAATTCTCCCAAGTGTTGAGTTGTGAGTAGCCTGCACATAATGGCATTCAATTCTGAGAATAGCTACTCAGCTCTGAGCATCCATCCTGTTTCTCACCATTGGCATTTCTGGTGGCATAGTGGCCTCTGTCACTCACACACTGGATTGCCTTACCTTTGAATCTGTCCATTTAATTCTCATTTCTGCCTTTTCTGTCACAGGGTTAGAGTTATGGTAATGAAGAAATGCTCTGTCCTTAGCCAGAGGTTGATGTAAGTTAAAAGATGTTGTAAGCCATAAAACAAACAATTAGGCAGATATTAGTTATCATTGTTATCTTCAGAGCTCAAGGTTTATATTTCTGTCTGCATTTTCAAGGCTTTAGATCAGAGTTTTAAAATTAGGGCCAGACCTTTTTTTGGGGGGGACGGAGATTCGCTCTTGTTGCCTGGCCTGGAGTGCAGTGGTGCAATATCGGCTCACTGCAAACTCTGCCTCCTGGGTTCAAGCAGTTCTCCTGCCTCAGCCTCCTGAGTAGCTGGGATTACAAGCATGTGCCCCCACACCCAGCTAATTTTTGTATTTTTTAGTGGAGATGGGGTTTCACCACGTTGGCCATGCTGGTCTTGAACTCCTGACTTCAGGTGATCTACCTGCCTCGACCTCCCAAAGTGCTGGGATTACAGGCATGAGCCACTGTATCTGACCAAGGCTCAGAACCTTGAAACCACTTGCTAGGGTCTTGTAGACTGGAGTGGCAACTATTGTGAAATTGTCCAAAGTGCTATGCATGTGTGCCTATGTGCATTCATCCACCCACTCATAAAAATATTTGTAAATGCTTGCTATGTTTTAAGATGTGTTTGAGGGAGTTTGTGCTGCTCAGTTTTTAAAGAGAGGGAACCCTTTGGTAGTTACAAAATGAAAAGGATAGACATCCACTCTGAGTAGTTCTGGATCATTTTTGGTGTTCTTTTTTCAAGTATATCTAAGTAGAATACCAGGCTGAGCTGCACACTTGCAGTGAGACAAGATGGAAGACTGAGAATTCAGCCAGCCCAGGACACATCTTTCTTGCCTTTGCAGAGGTTCTCTAGCATGCCAAGATTTTGGCATGACCTACCTGGAAAACTCCTCCTCTAGCCAATGCAAAATAAAAAAAAATGTGATTCCTTAGCTTTTTCTGTCATAAAAATTGAGAGGCAAATGTTTTTCTTTTGAATGAGTTTTCTGTTTTAGCAAACAGAAGCTATTATTTATAGCTTAGTTAAATGTTTTAAATTGGCAAACCTCTGTACCTCTTTCCTATAGAGATTAGTTCCTGGAGGGAATTATGAAAAAACATCAGTTAATGATAATCATATAGTGGACTTTCCAGAGATGGGAAACTTATTTTGGATACCCACTGGTAGGTAGAAGTCTGACCTTTGCATATAGTTCCAGATGTACTACAGAGAGGATGGTGGTGTATGCCATCAGCCTTGTTGTTTATAAATATTAGTGAAGTGGTCTGAATGCTTTAATAAAAACAAATGTATCAAATGGGTAGGCCTGTCTTTATAGTTTTGGATTAAAAAAATAATCATACATTCATATATTCTTTTCATACTTTTAAGAAACAAAAAGGCAGTACTGCTACATTATAATTTTATTGTACACTTAAAATCTAGATTTAAAAAATTCTAATTGTGCTTTTTAGTAACTAATAATTTAAGAACTCTTTTTGATCCTCCCCTACTTTTCCAGCCTTCTTTTCTTGCCTAATGTTAGGAAAACCAAATTAAAGATGCCTGCATTTTGAACAGGTTGAACTTGTGGCCTTGGCTATAATTGTCACTTCATCATCTATTTTTGATTTTAATCTTATTATTATAACTTTCTTTTTACAGACTGGTGAATTTTCAGCTCGTTTTCTTTTGAAGTTGCCAGTGGATTTCAGCAATATCCCCACATATCTCCTTAAGGTAAAAATATATGATTATCAGTATGAGACTATAAGTAAGCTTTTTAAGTAATTATTTAACTCAATATTTGTGTGACTGGTTTGTCAGCATTTTGTTCACATGATGAATTCTACTAAAAATATTTCTTATATGAAGTTCCACTGAGCTATTTTGTTTTCTAAAAGCTAAAATAGTAACTTTAAAAGTTATTTAGAAGTGAGTTTTCCATATAAAATTTCTATTATAAGTGAATTAAACTCTGGGAAAAAATCACTTTTATTTAATAATGTTATTGGGATGAAAGACTCTCATATAAATTGTCTAATATGAAATATTAGGGCTGCATATTAGTCACCACTCCATTCTACAAACACCCTAGCAAGTGGCTTCAAGGTTCTGGCCCTTGGCTGGGCATGGTGGCTCACACTGTAATCCCAGCTCTTTGGGAGACTGAGGTGGGCGGATCACCTGAGGTTAGGAGTTTGAGACCAGCCTGGCCAACATGGTGAAAACCCATCCCCACAAAAGTATACAAAAATTAGCCAGGCATGGTGGCACGTGCCTGTAATGTCAGCTATTCGGGAGGCTGAGGTGATAATATTCGGTAGGTAGCACTGCATATTAACCACGCTGCACTAAAGGGTGTTTCATTTTCTTTATGTTAACAGTTGCTCTCAGGCACCTTCAGAGTTAGGCTGTCCAGAAGAGACCCGGAATCCATTTAGAACAGCGTATATGACATTCCTTAAAATATGATGCAGGCAAAATGTGGCCTGGGGAACAGCTGTTTTGGGGAGAGGCCTGAAAATGCTTTGCCAGAGAAGTAGCATCCAAGTCACTCGGCTGTGGTTGGTGTGAGAGAAAGTATAAATGGACTAGGGAGCAAGTTCTGAAAAGGAAGCTTTAAGACAAAGGCCTAGGTTCATCGTAGATGAGGATTTGGTTGTGATTTAAGATTTGGCTGCCTTCCTCTGCCCTGTATTTGAACCTATAGTTGTTTAATTGCAATCTCGTGTAAGAAAAATTTCTACCTTCCTAATTTGATGTTGTTCAGAGAGTTAATGGTATTTATAACTGCGTAGAGAAAAGACAGGATCTTTGTACAAGTTCGCCTGCATATTGTACTAATTAGTAAATAATATTAGATATTAATTTTGATAATAGTTGTAGGTATGATTTAGTAGAATATAAACTATAGACCATAGAGAAGATTGGAGAATTTTTTTTTAATAAATTTCATCTTTTTTTTGTTTTGGAGACATGGCCTTGTTCTGTCACCCAAGCTGGAGTGCAGTGGTGTGACCATAGCTCACCCCAGCCTCAAACTCCCAAGCTACAGTGATTCGCCCACCTCAGCCTTCTGAGTAGCTGGGACCACAGGCATGCACAACTGTGCCTAGCTAATTTTTAATTTTTTGTAGAGAAAGGGTCTCAGTAGTCTTCCCACCTCGACTTCCCCAAATGTTGGGATTACAGGTGTGAGCCACTGTTCCTGGCCTATACAGTCCATCTAAAGAAGAAAATTATTTTCTTTTTCTCTAAGTAAAACACAGGATTTTTATACTTCATTAAAAACTTAGTTTCCAGTTTACTAGTTCTACATTCTTTACCCAAGGGTTATAAAGTCCAAGTAAGAATGGAAGTCATCAATTTCTGTCAGTTTCTCTACAGTCCTGTTGTGGAAAATATATATATTAGATCTGTGATTACCAAGCATAATTAATTTGATTTTGGCAATTACTGTGCTCTATTAGACTAGTAAGCAGTCTTCTAAGAAACCCTTGTAGCACATACTCAGGACCTCCTCCACGTATTCCAGTTAAAACTCTCTTTCAGCTCATTTAGAGCCAAGTTCAAAAGCAAATGAAAGTACATGATTTATATAATCACCTTAATCCACAATTTACAGTTAGTGTTTTTGTTTTAATTTGTTGTGCCTTATCAGTTTCAGCGGTCTTCCTGTTTATTTGCAATTGATGTTGCCTCTGCTCGTATTCTTGAAGGTCAAAGGAAAAAAAAATTTGTTGGCTCATAATCTCATATTTATCTCCTCAGTATCAAATTACCATATTTTTTATTTTAAGAATTCTAACTTTATATGCTGTTCTTATTTTCCTTGACAGTAAGTTAAGAGAAGGGTGGAATCTATTTGCCAAAACTGTAAAGTTTTTTAACCCCCACATTACTGTGAAATGATGTCTCTTCTATAGATAAAATATCTACATGGCAACACTAATGTCTTTCTGGATCTTTTGAGTTCATGCAAAAAGAGTAAAACAACAAGGACCAAAAAGGAGAAACTCTTGTGTAACACAAAGCAACAGCCAAAAAAACAAAAACAGAAACCTACCAGCACACCAGAAACAATCCAGAATACTTGCTGAGGGTTTTAAGATGTACATTCCTAAAGTTGTTGTAACCTTTGGCTTTGCTTTTCAAAGGAAGCTTGCCTTAGGTGCTGCTTTACATATTATGTGCGTTTGGATGCTCCTCATCTAATCGCTAGGCCTGTAACTGAGAGTCTAACTACAAAAATAAACCTCCTGAATTCCTAGAGTTAGGATACTATTCACCAGCATCAGTAGTTTTACCTTATCATTTCAAGCAAATAAAAGGGAAAGTAGAACTTTAAAATATTGAGATAGCATGGAGTTTGACTGCATACCCTATTGATTTGCTACAGTGAAATTTCATTACACTACGATGAAGTCATCATCTACTCATAAGTTCATATTACCAAGTGTGCCTATTTTACCCACTAATATAATTATTTTACGTTCAAATGAAAAAGCCATTCAATATTCAGTTATATGATTTCCCTTAATATTGTACTGTAAATTCGTATGGTTCTTACAGGGGATAGAGTGAATTTATTCTGAAGATGAAGCCTGATTTTAGTGTCTGAATTTTACTTTTGGTTGAGGTAAATCAAAGGGTCAGATGAATCACTAACATAAAAACAAAAAATATTTCTGTATTTGTTACTGTTCTTATTTTGGAGGTGGTAGGAATCCAGCATGAGCTCATGTAGACCAGATGAGAAATTTAATAAGATCTTCTTCTGAAGTCTGTATGACAGGAAACAGTCTATACTTAGTACTTTACAGATAAGGCATAGACCAACTTTCTTATGTCTGTTCCACTGTGTTCAGTTGTGTACTCCTGAACTTCTCAACTGGTGTATTTGTGGGGAGAAATCATCCCCATCATAAAGAGGAGATTACAGAAATTATCAAAGTGCAAGTATTCACGACAGTTACCGAACCGAAGAAGGATGGTTTTATAATTGTATACTTTCTCTTAATGAACAGCTAGTCATTAGATGCTGCTGCTCTTAATTTTCTTAGAGTGTGGTGAAAATTAACATACACTGAGCTGCATGTGTATTCCCGTGTTTATTTCTGTCCTGAGAATTAGTGAACTTAACAATGTGATGTTAAGAAGGCTATGTTTTTGTTTTTGCTTCTGTTTTCTGTAAAACCATACTTCATAACGAAGTAGTTAAAGAAATGGTTTGAATTGTCTACTAAAATTTTTATTCTCTGAACAAGAAGCTCAGAAACTGAGAATATAGTATTTTGGGGGAGAGGAGAGGCTTACTTTTAAATGTGATGTGTGTTTGAATTGGTCACTTAGAATAATAAGCCAGTTTTATATAGAATATAGTGAAGTTAAAAATCCTAGAGCTAGGAACCCCTTCAGTAGCATCATACAAAAATATGGAGGCAAATTGTTGGATCCCACTGAACTGGAGGGTTAAATAGCACTGATTTCCTACTGATAGTGGATATGGCAAATATAACCCTGCAAAGAAAATCAACATTAACTCTTTTTTGTTATGTAAGAAACGACCATATTATTTATGTAGGCTAAATTGTTGTTGGAATATCTCTAAACTAGAAATCACTGAGCCCTAGCCCAGGCTAGAAGTAGGGCTATAACCATTTACTATGACTGAAGTACTTGGACTTTTATTATCATTATTTAACATCAAACACTGAGCCCATTCATCCTGATGGATAGCTTGTAGAAATTTAGTTCCACTGTGGAATCTGAATCATGACACTACATGGAAATGAATTGGGTGTGAAAAAGCTAAAATAGGTTATTTGTATCAAGAGCTGAAGCACTCATCCTTCTTCTGAAGTCACTGTGGTTGTACTGATCAGTCAGGGCACAATCAGTGCAGACCTCAGGTCACTCTGCCAAGCAGAGGCAAAAAGTAGGAATTCGGTTCAGAGTATTAAGACGTGTTCAGGAGTCTAGGATTGGCAGAGAGTTGTGACTAGGTAACTATACAGTGGTCTAAGCAGATCACTAATATGGAAGAGAGTATCTGAGTATCCTTGTGTGCTGAGGTTATCTGATGTCAGAGCAGTCTCTTCAGCCTGACATTGGACAGCAGGTTACCTACTTATAGTTTGCTTTCTAATCAAACCTTGTAGCAAATGCAGATATTCACAGAGCCAGGCAAGTACTGAAAAGGAGTGAATCTGACTTGATACCATAGGAAATGGTAGGGACTGTAATGAGCTAGCATATATGTGCTTCATCTAAAGGCAGCAGCTACTATACAGCTACAGAGTTATTTTCCATTTGATAATTTGGGGCTGGTGTTGCCAGATATCCAGATGTTAATAGAAGGAGCCCAGAATCTCAGGGTTTGTTGTTGTTGTTAATATGAAAAACTGTCTTTTAAGTGATAGCAATGATAGATGTTGTTTGCTCTAAAACCTGACGGTCTTGTAACCAGGTAGGTGGCAGAAGACTCTTATTCTCTTTCCTTGATTTATACTATATAGTGTGGTATTCAGGGAGATCTTACCATGACCCAGTGGATAAGAGAAGGAGAACCTTGAACTGGAATTCCACTCAGTGTCCTGAACTGTTTGTCAGAACTGCAACAGAGTGCCCAGAATGAGTTTGGCTTGGTTTTTGAGTACAGTACTGTGCAGAACACCTAAGTACTGATTTTGCCATAAAATGAAACAACAAAAAAGAAATTCAAGTATCATCATTGT